TGGAATTATACCTACAATTGCATTTATTGAAAAAGATTACATCGTGGGTTTTAATGTGCGCTCTCGAGACCTTCTATGTGACAGATTTCTTTTTTACGCCCGACTGCTGCCAACCGAAGATTGTTAGAAATTTGCTTCTTACGAAATTATATGCGCGTCTCCGAGTCTTCTAAGTGAGATATTTCTTTTTTAGAAAAATGTATTTGCTTTTTATGAAATTATATGCAAGTTTTCGTGTCTTTTAAGTGAGAGATTTCTTTTTTAGAAATTTGTATTTGTTTTTATTAAATTACATGCGCGCCAACGAGACTTCTAAGTCAGAGATTTCATTTTTAGAAATTTGTATTTGCTTTTTACGAAATTATGTGCAAGTCTCCGAGGCTTCTAACAAGGGAAGTTAGGAAACCCGAAAATTCAGAAAAATCTGAAACTTTGTGTAAAAGTAGAGCAATTTGTCCGTAGTGCGAAACTATTTTTTGTTGGTGCTCTATTCCGTTTTGAAGGGATGAAATCACCCCTTGAAAAAAATCAGGTTTTTTTCTTCCGACGTGAATATCGTCAAAACTATAAGAGATAGAAAAAAGTGTTCTAGATCAAAATTGAGTGACTTAAAGTGTATTTTATAATAGTAATAAAAAAATTACAAAAAAATTTTTTTAAATATTTCTTTCACCACTTTAAATTCTTTTTTTAATTTTTAAATTTTTTTGTGACCAAATTAAAGGTTAATTTAATACAAATTCAACCATGCGTGATAAAGTTATTTTCCAAACAAGGAATAACGATGAAAGTAAATCTATTTTCGCAATATTCTGCGCAATATTCTGTATAACTCTGAATCGTTTTTATCGCGCACGTCTAGACAACGTTTACAAAGTAAAATTTCAATGTCATAGAATATGTCAAGTCAAATCGGTATAAACAACTAATTATTGTAAAAACAGTCTGTACGTATAATCACGGAAGTTTCTTATTTCATATAAATTATAACGTACCTTCGGACGATGAGACACACCACAGTTTATGCAAAAAACTTCCATATCGCACAAAGTTTAATTTATTAATAAATATTGCGCAACATATATGTATTCCTACTTATATTTATATTATACTACAATAAAAATAGGAATAATTTACTGCTTATGCGTCAGCGTAAACGAGTACAGATGGTGTGCGTATAGAGGCGTTTGTAATTATTTCTTGAAAATGATGACTTTGGAAAAAAACTTTATCACACATGGTTGAATTTGTATTAAAATAACTTTTAATTTGGTCACAAAAAAATTTTAAAATTTAAAAAAAGAATGTGAAATGATGGAGTAAATATTTAAAAAAAATTTTAAAAAAATATTTTTTATTACTATCATAAAGTACACTTCAAGCCATTCAACTTTGATCTAGAAGATCGGAAGAGCACACGTCTGAACT